ATGTTCAAGGTTGAGTTATGGCCTAGATGGCTCGTGGCTGATTTTGTCACCAAAGGTGAATATTTGATGGTCTAATACGAAAACGGTACTCAATTTTAAGATGTCGCTAAGTGTCGTGGTGTAACAGTAAATTTTACTTAAAGTAATAAAGACGGCACGAGACTTACGGTATTTTAAAATTGAGCAGCTTTTGAGTATTGTTTCTAGTTTGTACATTACACAAGATTTTGTAATAATTCTGGACAATCTATTTCCGTATTAACTAGTTTCAACAGAAACGTTTGACTGAGTTTGACGGCTCTGTGGGGCAGTGGCTTAGCAATGAATTACAGCGGCCGCAGATTCGAATCCCCCATGGAATAAATATTTGTATGACCTACAAGTAATTGTTCCGGATCTGGATCTTTGTGCTCGTGAAATTTATGTGTAAACTGCCCCCACAATACAAGAAAAATCGTGTGGAGAATAACGTATTTTAACTAAAAACAAAACAAAATTAAGTCTATTAAATTACAAACAAGATCGATTAAATTTCTGCGTTCTTTCAGACTATTTTTCGACGGTCGAAGATTTTTATGATCTTTTTGGATATTTTTCGATGTGGTGTTGTTTTGTGTGAGTTGTTACTAAATGTGGGTGGACCAAAGGCGTTGTTCTGGCCCGAAAACTAACTTTGGTGGTTGTGCACAGTGTGGCGGAGGCCGCGCACGCGTTGGTGCGACTGGCGCAGTGTAAGTACGGGCGCGTCCCGCTTGCATGGCTTTGCATGCGGCTTTGTACGCTTTTTTCCTTACTTTTATTCTCTTTTTTTCTTCTTTTGAACGAGGAAAACTGTTGTGAACAATTATGATTTCTTATGTTTACGCGGGCACTACACACTTAAATAAAACTAGACTACAACTAGAAGACCTCAAGATCTATACGTTCATACTGCGTAGATCGGAGAAAAATTGACATTGGGACGTCGAATACCCCAGTCTCCCCGTGACCATGGGTGCTGTAAAGTGCTCGAAACGTCGGGAATATATGATTAATATACGCGATAAAATCTGTGAAAAAATAGTTTCATTTAAATGTTGTAAACAACTGAAAATTGGATACTGTCTTGATATTATTTATAAAATTTGGAATCAAAAATATCGTCATTTAGATGAAAACTGTTGCAATAATAAATAAAATTGCTGCGTTGTTTCAACTATGTGTAACGCATATCGTAGATTTCATATTCGAATCTAAAGTATTTTTATTTTTTTAAATCTTAACAACAAAAGTAACATTACATAAACACAGGTAACTGGGGACCCAAAACTAAGCGCAGCTTGTATCTCAGGGCCCTGATATAACAGACTACAACAGATTTCCTCGTTCGTTTGATCTATACCGAACAGGATTAGAATGGTTCCTATAGGGAGTGCTCCCGTTTGGTTATTATACGTGCGTGTTATCGGTTGTGACCGTGTGTGACAGCCTCACGGAGACTGCGCGGCTTCTGCACAATGTACGCAGCGTGTTCGGACGCCGGTCTGCGAGCAGAGTCAACACGGAGCTCGAACTGTCGCGTGAGTACCACACAAAGCACCGCAAACGCCCTACACACTCTCTACCCACAGTGCTCTCTCAGTGGATCCGCGCAGGTACACTGTGATTTATTAAAATCAAACGCTTCTTTAATTAGTACACTGTGTTCAGCACTGGATCATGAATTAGATTTTATTTATTGGAAACATTTGTGTGGATCACTTTTTGCTCTAATATGTCTGTCGTAATTGGCACGTTACTGACATGCGTATTCGGCTGCGATACAGATGGGTTCGCTTTCTCGCAAGAGGAGGGCGGGACGGTCTCGCAGGCGGACGTGATCCGGGCGTACGACACGAGCCAGCCGAGATCGACTCTCTCCTGAGATGACGGCGGGCGCTCGATCTTCACCATTGGTTAGGAAAACCAAGGAGGTTTGATTATACACACGGCCTACCCTCAATAATACTACGATTATGCTATTTAACGTATTATCTATGGTATATTGTGGCATCTGTAAATATATTTTCTTTATTAGGAATCAACAGCATTTGTTTTAACAATCATACTAGATACTTAAAAATATATATTAGGACACTTAGCCAATAACAGAGATTCGTTAAAGTTGTCGTCGGTCTTTTCTAAACTTACACTAATTTGAAAGTCATGTTAATTTTTAAGACTGTTCGAGACAGTTTATGTAATTTTAACTGTTTGGTTGGTTTAATTGTTTTTTTATTGTACAATTATGGCCTATTACCACGTCTTTATTCACTCGCTTTATTGTTATTGTCTTTTCGGGGTAATTTTTTTTATAAGATAATTAGGTAATCGATTTTTAAACTAACTACTCGACAGGAAATTTTAAACATAGCCGAGTCCGATGACAATGAAAAAAAAATGATATACTAAAAAAATACCGTCTGACTTGTTTTTAATTGTTTGTCTTCTAGTAAATTACGATAATTTTATTAAAATTTCAATTATAAAAGTTGCTAAAAAATATAAAATTAATGCGCATATATTGTCTGTGCTTTATATACTATGTGGTGTTTATAAAATAATGTACAATAGTTAATGTATTTCTGTAGTAGGTGTAACTTAATCGGTCACAGGGATCTCAATTGAAAGAAATGCTTAGAAATCTGTAGTTATTGTGATGCCATTCCTCTCCTCGTGCAAACTTGGTACTTCTTGCAGTCATTAGCTGAATGCTGAATATTCGGCCACTGTAAAAATATCTGTATGATTTTAGTTAGAATTATAATTATATAACAATATTTAGTTATTTCAAACTATATAATTTTTTTTATGGGAGGGGTCTAGGCTACCCATGTCATGTGACAAAATAATTAATTTTGTGGGATATAATAATAAATCTTTATTTCGACTTTCTAAGACTCATGGCAGCTTTAAATATTAATTAAAATAAATTAATACCCACTTGAATTTAAAAAAAAACTTGAATATATTATAAAATTTTGCCGAATACAACACCCAGCCAGAGTTGCAATATTGGAGAGAGAGTGAGAGAAATAAAAACTTCAGGATACTATTGGCGCAACAGGGATTTCTGTGCAGCAGGGAGGCTACATTGATTCTTCTGATGAAATTAAATCCATCTGCTCTTGCTTCAGATAGCAACCCTGACGCGCTGCCTTTAGCGGGGTTGCTCATCAGAACCCTAAAAGCATTGTTATATTGACCACGTAGGCGCTGTAAGTCCTCCGGCTATAACTTACCCACAGGCTGCACTGGTAAAAGCTATAAAGTTCTTGATGATTCATAAATAAAGTATTGCTCTGTTTTCTCGATGGATAGTGACACTAGAACTTCCGAATTGATTCCCACTATGGAAGCAAATTTAAAGACGTCTTCACGTCGAAAACATACAGTCAGTCACAACCCTTGTATAATTTATAAAAGCCCATTATTACTATGTTAGTAATACACATATACGGAAACATATCTACACTAAAATAGCCTATATGTAGGTGAATCCAGTGCCTCCAGATAGAACTCTCAATATGTGCAACAATGACCCTCAGGTCATTGCTGCACATATTGACACCTCTTTTCTAATTATGGCACAATAGCCATCCACTTGGGAATCTGCAAACATCGCTGACGCACTAGATCAACATCTTGAAGGCATTGTTGTACTGAACTCTCAGTGCGTTCACGACCCGCTGCGTACAGTTGGCCCACACTAGCAACTATGAATTATTACTGCAAGTATGAATAATTTAAAAAAACTGTGTAGTTTTGGTTTAGGGGAATCTGAGGATATGATTTTGTCTCTTTCGGACGTTCGGGTAGGGTAGCGTGACATCAATAGATCTCTTTAAAACCTACTTTATCTTGTTGCGACAATATACTCAATATTAAATGCTTAACGTAATGAAGTGTTTTTATCAAGTACATCGTTTAATGTACGAATTTATTTATGTTTACGGTAAGACACCTATTAAATAACATTTAATTATCTCTGTGTAAAAGTATTTTCGGCTCGTAAAACTGTATAAAGTTTATTGTTAAGTGTTGTGGTAATTTATTTTTATTATCTATTTTTATTTTATAACACAATTATTATGAATTCATTGATTCCTTGGCCCCTGAACTAGTGTTTAACTGTGTTACACTCTCTTCAAATCTGAAATATATGAATATTTTATTTTTATATGAAATTATTTTATATGAAACAATTTGATATGAAATTATTTTGTTTAATGAATTTTGCTTTTTTTTCTAAATATATTTCATTTAAAATATGATTTGAGAAATTAATGACATTTAGTAAATTAATTGTAATTTACATAAAACTATTCTTATCTTCTTAAGAATATAAATACGACCTAGATATATATACGTAACGCAAGATAATTTAAACGCAGGTATCGTTTGTGGTCGAAATTCAAATAATGATAAAGCAGCACAATACAGCCATTATCGTGATCAAATACTCACAATCTAATTTTATGTAGCATTTTGTATAGAAAAATACGTATGATGTCCACTTTATTTTTACCAGCATTAATGGCTATATTAAATGGAAATATTAACCTCCTTTATAATGCTAAAAAACATACAACAATTTTCGATGTCTGTCCAAAATGATGAAAGGAAAAAAATCGTGAACTAAAGTATAACTCCTAAAAGTATATGGACTATTTTTATGACAACGTTCGATTATTTTAATTAATTTATTAATTCGAAATATTTAACGATCATATAATATTATATACTTAACTCTTTATGGTGCAAGGTCGTTAAATTTGTTAGTTTTACGATATAAATACTAAGTGGTAAATAGGATTAACGGATATAATAATTAAAAAAAAGTTATTAAAAATTAAGTATTTATTATTCCAAAAAAACTATCTGTTGCAGAAATGCGACATCACATCAAGTGTGCAAAAAAAACTTAAAGTTAGGAAATATGAATTTTTTTAAAGCAGTGATTTTGCTTATTATAACATAAACTAATACCACATTTTTCGCAGCTTGTTTGTGTAAACCCCTTGCAGTCTGGGAACCTCATATGTTTTTTGCACCTCATATGTTTGTCCAGACAAACTGGCCATGCATACATCTTTCGGAGGAACGTGTTGAGCCGGACCTTTCTTCTTTCTATTTTGAATGAGACATTCAACATCACTTCCTCGCTTTTTACGGTTGATTGTCTTATATTTGCATAACGTCTCTGCTATGGCTACTCTGAATTCAGCAGAATTGAGGGTTTTACTGATACTACCCTTTTCTGCATTTATTCTTCGATATAAAAGCCATGAATTACACATAGCCATATCTAAAAAATGATAAAAAATTCGAAGATACCAGCGTTTACTACGGAGTTTAATTTTGTAGTGGCCCATGCCACAGTCTAAAAGGTCAACACCACCCATATGTCGATTATATTCTGCGACGACATAAGGACGTTCAACAGAAATGTATTGTTTTCTCGACTTGTCCCACCTTCTTACTACAGATGTTGGGTGCTTTCCAGCAAAATTGGATGCTAGAGTGACGATTTTGTTATCTCTCCAAGCAACCACAGCTACGTCAACTCCATTGCAGTTACCGACCTCTTTCTGAACAGAGTATAAATTAGTCTGGTCTCTTATAAAATTGATAATTTCTTCAGTAAACAGATACGAAAATATCTCAAATGGAGTATCTAAGCAAAGTATTTCTAGGGGTAACTTCTCAGATCCAAGAAAACGTAGTTCGTCTTCATTTATGTTCAGGGTTTTCGTTTTCCACGTGATATTCATAGTCATAGGCACACGATTAGATATCCTTGGAGCTGCTGCAGAACTAGCACTAGTAGAAGCGGAGGCCAGACTTGGATCCATTGCAGTACTAATGATATGAGTATTGGTGGATGTTACTAGGATGCTGGTAGATTGAACTTCATTTTCCAAGTCAGGTGGTACCTCTGGGTCCTCATCAGAACTTGCATGCTCATTCGGCTCGAAATTATACGTCGGATCGGCGACATCGTCGTCGTCAGAAAAGTCAAGGCCATCTTCGCTATCTTCACATTCTCCCAGTATATTTTCCAGGTCCTGAGTAGTCAAAGTATGCAATTTACGACTCATTTTGAACCTGTAAAGAAACACCCAAATTTCAAAAAAAAACGGTAATAAACATATACCACAACGCGCAATGTTACATATTTGCAACAAAACAAAATCTGTCTAAGAAATAATAAAAAAAATGTTTTTTTTTGGTAAAAATATTATTGATTATTGAAATACATGCTCTTACCTTTTACTCATACCAATTTCAACAGCCAAATATCACTATTTCACCAAAAAAACATTTTTCGTAAACGAATTCAAAGAGAGCGAAACAGGTTTGTACTCATTCGTCACTTCAATGAAAGACAAATACAAGTGTCGCCGTCTAGTAAGCTCGTTTGTGACTAATTCGTTAGAATGCTTTGTTACTGATGTACAACACTAAGTAAAGACTAAGTAGGTCTATCGCTATTTGCTATATTTTTACGTCTATTTGAATGGTATGTTGCAGAAGTACAACATGTCTCCATAAAGGGTTAAAAGTATTGAAACGGAAAACTAAACATTTATGACCATGTTATGCAGAAATGTTTCAACCAAAAAAATACAAAGTTATTCAGAATTGAAAAAAAAAATGCATTTTTCTTGTAGCAGAAGCCCTATTACTGTGGAATTTCGATAATTTTAAATCCAAGGAATATGCCGCAAAATTTCGATTCGAAGGATTGAGTTTTAATTTTAAAGCACTAACAAGACTTTCGAGATTTATTCCAAACATAAAGTACACACGTTTTACTTAGAAACTTCTATGCATTTATTCACATAATAGAACAGAAGCAACAATGCTCCTTTTGAATTTTATTGCTATGAGTTCTGGGAATTCCAACAACAAATCACTAATATTACTTTAAACCCGTAAAACTGAAATATTTATTTTATTTATTGCAAAATGTATTTTGCAATGTATAATATTAAAAGTTAAAAATTTGAACTCAAAACTCCATATTTATTTTTGTAGTAAATAAAGAGTTTTGAGATGATAGTATTTAGTGTCTATTATTATTTTCCCAATAATCACGAAGTCAAAATTATTTTACGGCACCTCTATGGTCTCATTAAACATTTCTTTAGAAAAATGGCACGTTGATACATAAAGGTTCGCTACCTCTGACTGAGGGGCTCAGAGGATCAGAAAATAACATTTTTTTCGTCTTATTGAGGATTACGACTTAACGGGGTTCGAGATAAGAATATTCCGCTGTATATCAACTTATGTTTATAATTTAAGAAAATATAATGTAGTTTTTACGATTACTTGCTATTGTTTATAAGTATTTCATACTTGGAAATAAACTGAAAAAGAGCGGCTGGATCATTTTTTGACCAGATTGTGGATCGGATGTAGCATTGCAACGTATTTATATACATTCACTTGTTTAGCCATCTTAAAATTAAATTGTACATTTGCTATCTCTGCCATTTTAATCCCGCATAAAGCTACTATTTTTATAGTTTAATTATATTGTAAAAATTTGATATGTAAAATTTAGTACTTAGGTATTTATTAACTTAGTTGACCTGGCTATGATGACTTATTTTAAACTTTGGTTTGTTCGAATTTCAAATGTTTAAAGTTAGTTTGTAAATTTTGTTAAATCCAATGATTGTGAATAATTATTTATTGTTAGTTGTGTTAAATCTTATGTAGTTGTTTTGCGTATTATTTTGATGTACGACTGTAGCCTCTCGGTAGAGAACATTGTCTATCCATTTATTACAGCCTATAAAATTCCACAGCTGAACACAGGCCCCCCTCATAAATTGCCTCATCTGGGGATTTTTGCCGTAGTTGCCACGATTGGTAAGCGGGTTGGCCACCGCGGTTTTTAATTATTTTGAGTTTTTATCAGGCAGATGATGCTGCCCTGTTCCTGTTTCGGTTTACCTCTGTCGCCTCTCACGACACGCACGGATGATATGGGATAGTGGATATTCTTACACCGGCACTACACGAGAACAGTACAGCCGTACTTTATCAATGGAGAAATACTCGGATTTAATGCGGTATTTTATTGTTTTTGTATTTCACCGTTTGTCTGAATCATAATGGAAAAATTCAAGATGTCTAATCGCATCTACCATTGCATGTTATATACCACGCCAGCTGTATTTATAAAATTATACAGTTTTTTTTTTCTTCAAATATATTTAAACAAATGATAAGTTTTATCTCTTAGTGAGTTTATTAATCAGCATGAAATGCGCCACTGCTAATTTCGCTTTCAATTATATAACTATACTCGAATAGCAGTGTAAGAATTTCCATTACCCCATATCATTCCGTGGGTGTCGTACAGATACAGAGGGCCAGCGCCGTCTTCCTAATAACGACTAAAAATAAAAAATAAACTCCGGTTGCCAGCCCACTTGCCAAGCGTACTATTGCAAATATCCCTCTTATGAGACTATCTGTGAGGAGGCCCACGTTTAATAGTGGACTTTAACAGCTTGTAACGGTAACGGTTAGTGAGCTTATATATTAACCAGTATGAAATGCGCCAATTTAACTTTCATTTATATATCTATGCTCGAATATAAATAGGATTAATTCTTTCATAGCAAATGTTACTTTAAGCGAATATTTATTGTAGAAATCAGATTCGGTTTGCTTTTAATACCAAATAGTAGAATTATTAAGCGTTTTATTTCATACGTTGTTGTACTTAAGCGATATTCGTTATTTTTTAATTATTAAAAAGTACAAGTCATGTATTTATATTTAAATGATTTAAAATGATAAATGTATTTGTTTCGTAAATATATTATCTTAATCGCACTTTTAGAGATAATAAGAGCACATAATTGTACTGATAATCTATATGTTATGGACCAAATGAATAATCAGGGCACTATATATAATGCCCGGGCAATATAAATGATACAAATCAAGTAGGGCTACGTAATTAATAATGATTTAAGGCGACACCGCGAAAAAATGCACCTCCTTTCATCGAATAGTACAGGACTATGAGACCACTAACGAAACTGGAATTTCGATATACTTAGGTAAATTCATGTCCTTATCTTGAATTTGCTTGTTCAAAAACACGATTGTATAATTTTTACTCGATCATAATTATTTGCGAAAACACCTCTTAAAATCACTATAGTTGAAATTACAACGAAATTACTTAATCTATAGATATGCTTGGGAATCACTTAAATATAATCATAACATCAATATTCGTAATTTACTTGCTCATTACTTTGATTAATTAAATCATTTTTTTTAATATTTAAAGATTCTGACAATTTATAAGTGGTTTTATTCGTTGTGGGCGCTACGCAATTTTAGAAGGTCTATGCCGGCGTTTTTTAAGTTTTTATAGAAATGATGTATTCGCTGAGAGCCATTTTAAACGTTCATTTTCGATGTGTCGCCTTAAATTTCAATATTTATCATATTGCCTATATAATTTTCCAAACTATCAGAACATTATGAAAATGCCCTGTTCATCACTTGGTCTACAACATTATATACATCGACAACTTAACCTTATAGTTGTGAATATCGATGCGTTGATTTCGCTAAAATAGTGTTTTGAATACGATCACCTTATTTTCCCATTTAATCGCGTTGAATAATAAATGATTAAACATAATATACTAATATTGTGATATACGTATAGTATGAAGGTAATATTTCCGAGTCTTTACAAAGTAAACCGCTCGCGGGTTTTTGGACGATGTGTAACTAATATTTATCACATTATACCTCTAACAGTTTATTATTGTTAACTGTTAATTCGTCTAAGATATTCTGGCGGGTACGGGCCGTGGTGTTTTTGATGTTCAATATTGTGTTTGATTACCATCTATTTATTAAAATATTTTTAAGCAATGCAATTTTTTCCCAGCATTATTGTGTAAATATTTTGATGAAGTGATACGTTTGAATCGAAGAATTAATTAATTTTTTTATTATGATTATATTTTCAAAAGGAATTCAGAAATTATATAATTTTTAAAGATTTTTGTTAAAGTTTATTAGTTTATAAGGTGAAAATATTGTGTATTCTAGAACTGATAACAAATCATCCCAATGTATTTGAAATTTTAACAAAGTAGGTTATCTCTACCTTAAGAAATGAATAAATAATTAAATTGACTTCATAACACTTATTCGTGTTACAAAAATTCATTGGTAAATGAACAAGCTTCTTTACAGTAATTGTGAGTTACTTATTAAAGAAGTATGTCATTTAATATATAAATAGATTTAAATAGAAAAAAATTACTTGAGGAAGCAACAGAATGAATAATTGTCTGAGCTATAAACTGCATAGGAAGATTAAGACGAGAAGACGCTATTTACTGGAAACCTCTTATTCTATATAGATGTCCATGGGCCACAACATCCACTTAACATCAGGTGGGCTGTGTACTCGCTTGTCCCCTTATTTCATAAAAAATATATATTTATTTGTAGTTATTTGAAGAACATAAAAAGAAACATCAAAATTTATTTCCTGACCATTTTTACCATTAAACAATTGATTATAATAACAGGGTTGTTGACACTCATGTCAATTACACCTTATATAATACTTTTACGGGCTATCAAAATATTTTCTGCAGAACTTGTAAGAGAATACTAGTAAATGACGTCTTAATTACTTGCAATCTTACAAAGACTTCTATGTATACTGCTAAAAGTGGTCTGCGACCTTGATACATTGCGCACTAGGTTACGGTCAATTCCCCATAACTCCTTTAGTCGACTGCGAGCGGGCGAGAAGATTAAACTTTGTTTACTTAGCCGCGAATGTTTTTTCGACTTGCACTGATTTTGCTTAATGGGACTAAGAAAACGCTATCATTATTTATGTGTGCACTTTGTCAACGTGATTTGAAGTTTATTTCAGAAAAGTACCTATGTAAACTTATTTCGGATTTACCTGAAAACGGTAACCGTCGTAAGTGAAAATGCATGGCATATTACTGTCCCAGCTACCTGCGCGGTCGGCGCCCCCGCAATCCTAAACTGTGACACAGCTTTTTTGTTCTGAATTGTTTGT